CCCCCCGGTGTCCTTCCCCCAAGGCCAGTGCCCCAGGGAGTCGCGATGCCGCTGAGGCTGGGCCCACCGGATTCCCCAAACCCAGTCCTGCCCCCACCATCGGCTGGGGGAGGGGCTGGGTATGCCCCACTATTTGTAGCACATCTGTGGCTCTGGTCTGGGGGCTCCCAGCCATGCGGTGCCCTGGCTAGGCAGATGTACCCAAGGTCACCGAACTGGCCTGTGTCCACCTCTGGCATCCGATTGCTAAGCCAGTGCCCTGGCCCCAGACTTGCTCCCTTCCTGAACGAGGAGTCAGTCCGGCATGACCAGCTCGAGAGTGGGTGAGACTTCCAGGGAGTCCTTGGTGGCTCTGGTCTGGGGGCTCCCAGCCATGCGGTGCCCTGGCTAGGCAGATGTACCCAAGGTCACCGAACTGGCCTGTGTCCACCTCTGGCATCCGATTGCTAAGCCAGTGCCCTGGCCCCAGACTTGCTCCCTTCCTGAACGAGGAGTCAGTCCGGCATGACCAGCTCGAGAGTGGGTGAGACTTCCAGGGAGTCCTTGGAGCTGAGGGAGGCCACTAGAGGAAGTGGGGGGCCCAGCCCCTGACCCTGAGGGGTGTGTAGATCGCACACCGGAAGGGAGGAAGCACCAAGACCCCCCAGGTCTCTGCTGAACTGGAGCCTGAGCTGGTGAAGGGGGATGTGGCTTTGCACTCCATGTGACAGCTGGGGGGAGGGGGGAGAGATGGCCTATGGCCCTGTGCTCTCAGTGGAATAGAAATTGGTTGCAGAGCAATAGCTGGTGGTGTGCAAAGTCCTATTGGAATCCAGCAGGTGAAGGGTTAATTATTTCCTGAGCATAATTAATGAGTCACCTGCTTAATTAATTAGTCCTCTTGGGGCAGGGGAGCCGAGCCGAGCCAAGCCCCGACAAACATTGTTGCGAGTGTTCTAGCCGGCACCTGGGCTGGAGACAGCTGAGAGGAGGGCTGCTGGCATGGGGGCGGGGCTGGCTGGCCTTGCAGGCGCTCGTGCGGAGGTCCGAGTGAGTGCTCCACGATTCTTCAGCCTCGGACACCTCTCACTTGCACCCTGTGATCCTTTGTCTGCGGCAGGCATGGGCGTGTCCACGATCACGGCGGCTCGGATCCTCAAGGGGCAGCTGCAGAACAAGATGGGGGAAGAACATATGTGGCTCTATCTAAGGTGAGCGCAGTGATTTTTGGCGCCTGCCTGGCTGTCCCTGGGCCATGGCGGGGGTGGGAGCAGGCGCTGCAAGCTGGCTGGCCGAGGCCCTGTGCCTGGCTGGGAACCTCCAAGAAGCGGGATTTGAGAGCAGGGGCCAGGCTGTGGCATTTAGACATGTCCATGGGGCACCGTGATGCTGCTCAGGCTGGGGGGGAGGGCAGAGGAAAGGGGACTTTGGCGCCTGCCTGGCTGTCCCTGGGCCATGGCGGGGGTGGGAGCAGGCGCTGCAAGCTGGCTGGCCGAGGCCCTGTGCCTGGCTGGGAACCTCCAAGAAGCGGGATTTGAGAGCAGGGGCCAGGCTGTGGCATTTAGACATGTCCATGGGGCACCGTGATGCTGCTCAGGCTGGGGGGGAGGGCAGAGGAAAGGGGACGGGCCCTCAAGCTGCTTGAGGAGCCTCGCGGTGCCTGAAGGCCTTAAGAAGCTGGTCTGTGCCCACGCAGGTACGCTTGCAGCTCCACTGCTGGGGGGGGGGGCCAAGATTGTGCTTTGTCTTCAACTTGTAGTGTCTCCCTGGCGTAGGGGGAAGGTTTCCCTGCAGCATCTGCTCCCCGCCCTGCTCCCCTCCCTGCACCCGCCCTGCTCCCGCCCTGCACCCTGCCTGGCCTCAGCGATAAGGCCTGTGAGTCGCCCCAGCGGGACTCTCTGGCACAGAGCAGCCGCTTTGAGTGACTCCCTGGGCCAGGAGAGACTTTGTGCACTGGCCCCATCCAAGCACAATTCTCAGCTGCTATTGCCTGGAAACCAGGCCAGTGGGAACAGAGTTTGCTGGGAGGTGGGGTCAGCATGGGAAGCCGCCCCATCCTCCGGGTGCCTGGAGCAGGTCCCTGCAATGGCCGGACCGGTCAGCTGACTGACCCATGCGCGTCTCGGCCCACCGGCCGTCTGTTAGAAAAACGCCGGCAGGGGCTGGGGGGCCCCGCCCATGGGCCCCATCCCGCCAAGGGCTTGGCCAGGGCTAGTCACCTAAACAACGGGGAAAGACCCCGAGGCTCAACGGGGAGGGGTACAGAACTGAGGCAGAGCCCAGGCCTGGCCCCAGTGGCTCTGTTGCTCGGCCCAGCCCAGCCGTGTGCCCTGAAGCTGCATGCTCCCTAGTGCAGCAGGGCCAGTCGCCCCACGTGGCATGTGGTGAGCGTGGGCGGGAGGGGGCTCGACAGTGACCCGCGTGGTGGTTTCTGCCCTCGGCGTCCAAGCCAAGCTGCAGGAGAGAGTCCCACCTGGGGAACGCCAGCTCCATGTTGTGCCCCTCCGCTTCCCCGCGCCTGACCTCACCCACAACCTCGCCGTGGCAGCCTCTTTGCTCCGAGCCCCACAACACCAGTCTCTGCCCTTCCCGAGGGAGAGCCCTGCCCGGGCACCCAGCTTGGATCCACGATCATATCGGCAAAAATGAGCCGTGGAGATCAAGCTGATACCTGCTCTGTATCTGCAGGCCCCTACCCATAGGCCATTAGCAGACCGGTCCCTGGTGCACGTAGCTGGCAGTTCCGGGGCTCTGGTCCCTCTGTCTGTGCTGGGGAGGGACGGCCAGGGGGCCGTGTGCTGGAGTGGAGGCTGCCAACACGGCTCTGGTTTGTCCATGCAGACCTACAACACCAACGCCCAAGTGCCGGACAGTGCCGGGACGGCCACGGCGTATCTCTGCGGGGTGAAGGCCAACGAGGGGACGGTGGGGGTAAGCGCGGCCGTGACCCGCGCCCAGTGCAATACCACGGCCGGCAACGAGGTCACGTCCATCCTCAAGTGGGCGAAGGAAGCCGGTAAGCAAGTGGGCAGCGCTGGCAGCGTCATGCCTGTGGCAGACCAGCCCTGGCTGGAGTGGAGGGAGGGCAGGGAGGGGCACGGCCGGGGTGAGTCGCTTCATTTCCTGGACACCTTGATTCCAACGTGCCTGTCCCTTCGGGCAGGACTCTCCGGATGCTCCGAACAGCAGAACTCTGAGCCAAGGCAGCGGGGGCCCTCCCCCTACCCAGGCCACGGTGCCGTCCATGTGTCCCTGGCAGAGACACCGGGGGGTTTCCCCAGTGACATCCGCCTCCCCTGCCTGATCAGGGCAGAGCTGGCAGTGCCCCTCTAGGCGCTGGCTGAAAGACCGGTCACCCCGTGTGAGCGGAGCAAACCTCCCCGAATGCTCTGTCCTGTCCTACAGCCATCAAACTGGTGATCCCCTCCCCCCCAGCGCCTTCCACGGCTAACCCCTCCCCTCCTGCTGCAGGCAAGTCCGTGGGCATCGTCACCACCACGCGGGTGAACCACGCCACCCCCAGCGCCGCCTATGCCCACTCTGCCAACAGGGACTGGTACTCAGACAGCGAGATGCCCCCGGAGGCCATCCAGCAGGGCTGCAAAGATCTCGCCCAGCAGCTGGTGGAAAACATCCCGGACATGGAGGTACGGCGTGGAGCAGTGCCGAGCCGGCGGCCGGTTAACGGGGCTCCGTGGAATTGTAACCCAGGGTGAAGTGGGTTTCGCAACCCCAGTTGGTGGCTGGGCCACCCAGATGGAAGCAGCCGGCTGTTGCTCCTTTCACTGGCGGCAGCTTCTCTAGCCCAGGAGGTGGCCTAGTGGGTTCAGACCCTGCTGCACCCCGGTGTGGGGCTGTTAGAACCCCCACTGCCTGGCTTGCGTTCAGATTAGATGGGACAAACCCAGCTGGAGGATGGGTTCAGTAGCCTCCTGGGCCCCCTGCCCTTCTGAGCGAATCCCTGCCTGCCCTCCACAGGGGTTGGTGGTGGGGCTGAGAGCTGGGGGGCAGGGACCTAGCCCTCTCCTTTGCCCGTGCTCAGGCAGAGGTTGGTGGCACCCTGCCCTGGGCTGTCCCCAGCACCTGTCCTGCAGGATCCGGCCCAGGGCTTTCTGGAGGCTGGCTGGTCCGTTTGGATCGGCACCCAGCCGTGAGGCTGCTTTGGCTGGGCTCAATGGCCTGGGACGAGGGTTTGCGGCGCGAGGCAGCCTGGTGCTCTGGGGAGGGCCCTGGCATCAGACTCTGGCTCTGCCCGGGTAACCCGCCCGCTGAGTCGGGTGCGGGTCACTGTCCTGCGGAGCCGCACAGCGAGAGGGAAGAGCAAGGGAGCTCTACGGCCTGAGCTGGGAGCCAGCTGGCGTGTAGCCCAAGCTTTCGAGGCTCCTCCAGAGGTGGCAGTGGGGGGGGTGCTGCTGACGCTTCTGCTCTGCCATTGATTTGCTGGTGGACTTTGAGGACCATTCCCCCTCTCCGTGCCTCAGTTTCCCCACCCACAGAACGAGGACTAGGGCCCTTCCTCACCAGGCAAGCAGGGCAGAGAACCACCACGACGCCACTCGCCCTTTTCCCTCCCAAACAAGGGATGAGACGGATGTTTGCCTGCCTCCCGGCGCGTGGGCGAGTCCGTGGGCCGCAGTGGGAAATGCGATTGTGAAAATGCCACTCGGCACAACTGCAAACCCTGCCTGCTCC